CCAAAACCCCTCCCCCCCTTTTGCTTGTCAGTTCAACAGAAGCTTTCTGTAACAGCGCAAACTTTGCTTTCTGACTGCTTTGTGTGTGTGTGTGTGTGTGTTTGGGTTGATGGCAGTAATGGCTCCGGGACATCAGAGGATCTCTTTTGGAAGCTAGATGCCCTTCAGACTTTCATCAGAGACTTACACTGGCCGGAGGATGAGTTCGCCAAACACCTTGAGAGCCGCATCAAGCTCATGTCAAGTAACATGATAGAGAGCTGTGTCAAGAGGTAAGTAGCTGGGCTTGGTATGGGATAGGGAAAGACTTAAAGTGCTTTATGAAAATTGGATTTTTCATGGAAAAACAGAATGATCTATTTAATGTGTATCAACAGTGTCAAGCTAGGTGTAGGTTTTCGATGACTCAAATGCATAGACTGAAACTGAAGTGGTATCTTGCAGTTTTAATAATTCAAAAAGGTGGCAAAAATCCAACAAATACAAAAAAAAACAAAATCTAGGAGACATCAGGGAAAACATGCATGATGTGCCAGGAAACGACGAACCAGCAAACAGTGACTCAAAAGGAGGTGTATAAATTGGAGAGTAAACAAAGACTAGGCTAATCAGCAGATTGGGAGCAGTTGTGGACAGAGTAATCAAGAAGGGTGCTGGGAGAAGGAGACCGACACAAGAGGGCAACAGAGGGTAAACAAGAAATACATAAGAACTCAAAAATATGACCAAAAACAACTGGAATAACAAAATGGAAATGAAACCAATAAACTAAAAAACACAGAAAGACATAAATCAAACTATACCTAAAAATTCAAAAAGAAAACATTAACAGAACCAAAAAGTGCAGAGTTATGACAATGAGTTCTGCAGATTTGGTAGAACAGAAAAAAAAAATTGCAATGGTCCTGTGTAAACATTTTTAGGAACAACTTTAGCTGTATGTAATCCTTATAGATGGCAGCTGAACGATCTACTGCCATCTGTCTGTTGCAGGAGTTCCACTTTATATTCCCAATAGAGTTCCACTTTATTGGGAAATCGTGATACATTTCAGTCAATGCTAAGATTATTAAGAAATTGTTTGATCCAGATCAGGTTGAAAGAGCATCCAAAGTCCAACAAGTTGTGTTAGTTTTAGTTGGCTTACACACAGTATGTCTACAGCAGGGGTGCTCAAGTCCAGTCCTCAAGAGCTACCATCCTGTAACTTTTAGATGCATCTCTTCTCTAACACACCTTAATCGAATTGCTCAATCCATCATTTAGCCCAGCAGAGGAAAGGTAACGAGACATTCATTTGATTCAGGTGTGTTAAAAGTGGGGTGCATCAAAAAGTTGCAGGATAGTAGCTATTGAGGACTGGACTTGAGCACCCCTGGTCTACAGCATATGTGGACTGATCATCAGTCAAAATATCCCAAGTTTTCTACTTTCAAGTCTCTTAAACTATCTCTAAAATTATAGCTGAGGCAGAAAAATTCAGATGGAAGTAAAAAAAAAAAATTATATGAATTGTGATCATAAGTGAAAAAAAAAAAAATCTGGGGTGCATTGGTTGTAGAGGATCTGTGAATAGATTTTCTAACTGTACCATAGATTATCAGTTGGACTGAGGTCTGGACTTTGACTGGGGCATGGATGTGTTTGCTCCAAATGATTCTGTTGTTGCCTTTTCTTGTGTATTTTCACTTACATGGAATCAAAATAATAATAATTGGTGTTTTCAGTTGTTATGTAAAAAAAAAAAAAAAAAAAAAGGCAGATTTTTTTAGGTAAATTATCTTTTACTTGCATTTTAGGACCAGGATGGCATTTGAGTCCAAGCTGACAAAGAGCAGTAAGTCCACGGATTTCCGCATTTCTCCATCCTTATGCACCATGTTTAATGTGATGGTGGATGCCAAGGACCAATCAGCCAAACTGTGTGCTATGGAGCTTGGCCAAGAGGTAAAAACACCCACTAATACATTTATATGATGTGGAAGAGGAATATTCCATTCTTTGATTCCACTTTTACTAATATCTTTGGTAATTTTGTGCTTTATTTCACATAGAAACAGTTTCACTCCCAGATAGATGAACTGATTGAAGAGAGTGTGAAGGACATGATCCAGCTTCTGGTTGCAAAGGTGCAGCATTCATTTATTGTTTCGAAAACAATGTAAACATGAGGAAAATAAGAACAATTGAAAAATATACCAAAGCTGTGCTGCAAAACCACTCTTTCCTTTCTTTATCAGTTTGTAACTATTCTAGAGGGAGTGTTGGCTAAGATTTCCAGATATGATGAAGGGACCCTCTTTTCTTCATTCCTGTCTTTCACGGTGAGATGCACCTTTTTCTTCAGCACTTCAAACTGTTTTACAGTATTTTAATTACAAGATATATAATTTAAAAAAGCATCGGTGCCCGAGTTTATTTTAAGTGATCCCCTAATTTTGCTAAACAAACCTTCCCCTGCTCTGAAGTGTTAAACACAATATGTTTTTATCTTATTGTTCTTCAATTCCTACACTAAGCATAATGCACATAACCAAGCAAGGGACCAAGTCAAAAGATAGTTTTACAATTAACACAACCATAGTCTTAAGCTAAAAGATGTCAGTTGAATTGAGTTGTTGACTTTGTCACAATTGTCAGAGCAAAATGTACCATTACTGGAAGTTCAGTAGATAGCATTAAACAGATGGTGGCTCAGTGACGTTTTGAAACAATGAGCCAGGTAGGTAGGAGTTTCAAAAATACAAGCACGGCGTCAGTGGTGCTTTCTTCTGTGCTGTCAATTAGTCCCTCCTGGAAATAAACTCAGCTAAGCCAATCACTGAGCAAAAGAGTGTTTTTTTAAGGGACAGATCATAAAGCCATGCTAGACAATTGCTGCAGTAGCTCTGTCAATGAATATGTTCATGCTAGAGACACACCAGAACCCCAAAAACACTGAGTCTAGGAGAACTGCTAAAAAAAAAAAACTGAGCCAGAAGCAGGCTCGGACTGGGAACGATTTTCGGCCCTGGCATTTTTCCATCTACACCAGCCCACTTATGGAACCCCCCTGAAAAAAAAAAAAAAAAATAGAAAGCACAGTCACATTTCAAATGTGAAACACAATACAAACACACATTGCATATTGACCAATCTATCTTCAAGCATCACACAACAACCATCACCAAGACTTCTATAATGCGGTTTTACTGGCTTTGGTTATTAACATAGACGCCACAGTGACTGTTGCTGTGTATTATCCACACTTGCAGGTCACAATAGATGGGAAAGGTTACCCTTTAAATGCCAAACGCCATCATGCACTGCAACATATTTTTGCAAAATATTGGCACATAAATTCACCAAACATAAGTAGAACAACGTAGTTTGGTTTAAAGAAAGCATTTTAGCTTTATTATAATTTTGTTTGTTGCAAGGATTTAACAGTTTGAAGAAATGGAATTTTACAGTTTGAAGAAATAGAAAATTACACCATATGCCAACCATCACAAAGATGTGCATGACAAGAAGGGCTTTATATACTGCATGCATCAATTAGATAGTTAATATTGTATTACTTCTTGAGCTCCTTGAGTTATTAACTGTCACAAAGGTAGGTGCTTTGGCCGGAAAGTTAGTGTTGGGCCTAGTGTGATTTAAGGAGAGCCGGCCCTTGCATGCTGAAATTAGACCAACCGGTATCACAGATTACCAGTCAGAGCCTGGCCAGAAGTATGTTTTTATGGTCAAACGCAAAGAGAGTACAAGTTTAATGGGGAAAGTAGTTTGGTCCTTCCCTCTTTCCAGGAACAAACACAACTAAAGATGTCAATGATGTTGTCACTAAAGGTCCAATATTATGCTGCCTTAAAAAAATAAAGAATATTAACCATGAAAAGCCTGTTTTTGCCCTGTATGCATAAGCATACAGGGATGTAAAATTTACATATTGAGACCTCTTCTTCACCCCCCTCCCTCCAGAGCTACAGACCGCTCAATACAGCGTATTTCCCCTTATTACATCATAAAGGGCACAATTTTTTTTAAACAGCATTTGTAGTACACATTATGTAGGAGTTGGAGAAAGGCAGTGAGAAACTTTAAATCTCATACACAGGCTATATTCAGGACACATATGACTGTTACAAAATCATTTTTAATGTAAATTTGGCAGAATATGAGAGCGATAAGAAAACTGTCAGGAAACTGACGGTTTTCCTAATGCTTCTGTAGAGACTTCCTGTAGGGGCAGGATTGTTAAGAGTAAACCACATTAACACAAATGGTAACATTAACACCATGAACTTGTGTCTGACAGATTATCTTTTTATTTCAGGTGAAAGCTGCCTCAAAATATGTGGAAGTACCTGTAAGTCCAGTAGCGACACAGTTTTATGTATAAATTTATGCTGTTGTTGTCTCTCAAACCAGTTTTTGGAACCCCTTCTGTTCCACTGCTGAATTCTCTGCTAAACCTTGACAGCTCTGTGCCTCTGTTTTCACAGAAACCTGGGATGGACGTTGCAGATGGCTATGTGACCTTTATGCGCCACTCTCAGGACATGCTCCGTGAAAAGGTCAATGAGGAGGTGTATATAGAAAGGTTATTTGATGTAAGTAAGATGCCGTCTCCTCCTCTCAGTAAAGGGAGGGGCCATCCAAAATGTGGCAAAACAACAGGGCAGAGAGGGATAAGTCCCATTTTGAGACCAGGAAGTGTACTTCAGCCTGGTGGAAGAGGCTTTTCTGATCCTCTCTACCTCTCATCTCTACCTCTCTCTCTTTTTCTGACTCTTTTCTCTGTAAAATCACAGCTGCCCTCTGCATTCTAATGTACATGCCACAGTGCTTTTGGGCCTTTGTGTATTATAAAAACCAAGCAACTTCACTAACAAAGAGTCCATAAAAGCATCGTCTAAAAAAAGGATTATCTCAAGCAGTGCTCTCTGTGGAAAAAAAAACAAAACAGAACTGCCTTTAATGCTCTAATGCAGCACACATACTAATAGACACAATTTTCCCTCACTTAAACACTCCCAGGTTTCAGACATTAGGGCATAGATTATATTAGGTGACACTGCAGGGTGTCTCACTTAATGATGGCCAACTCAGAGGCTAACATGCTTGATGGTTCCCAACCTCAGGCGCCAAATATATAACATAAAGGTCATTAAAGTAAAAAAGAAAAATACAGAAGAAAGGAATGCAGGGAACTAGGGAGTCCCAGTCTGATGCTTTATGAAAATCAGTGCCGTGTGAAATATGTTTTTAAGAAAACTCGGTAGCTTTTATTGCTGTAAAAAAAAAAGCACTAAAAGGGTTATCAGTACTAGATTTAGAGACTACTACAAGGGTTAGTAGTCTCTAAATCTCCCTGAAATAACATTTCTGATGCAGCAGCCTTCTGAACTTTTTGTTTAATAATAAACCTGGCCTCCATATTTAGAGCAGCAGCCCTCTGGCCTTCTTGCTTCCTGCAGGTACCAGATATATCAATTAATTATATGCATGAAGAAAGACAAAAAAAGCACATGCTTATGTGATTGTTTGTTTTCAATCAATCGAGTCTGATGTGTTGAAAGATATTTCTATTATATACCTGTCCACTATTAATAGCTAGAATTACGTATCAGTAACTGTACTCTAAAAAATGTAAGTGTGGAGTAAATTCAGTCTGCTCTCTAACTGAACAATGTTCCAGCAGCAGGGTAGGTGGCCTGTCATTACATTTTTAATGTTTTTCTCTATGGCCTCATTAATTTATAACACATCACTCTTTATGGTGCAAAATAAATAAAAACAAAATAAAAGCAGTTGCTTAGTATAGTTTTGTGCAAAAACTGTAGACCTTTTACAATTAATTTACCATTTTTTTCTGCAATATAGGGGGCAGTGTCAATGAATTATCTGTTTTCCAACAGTTTTTATATATATATATATATATATATATATATATATATATATATATATAAGGCTCACTGGACTATAAGGAGCAGGTCATTCTTCCTTCTGTGCCATTGATTCATCAATAGTACCGTAATTAGGTGGTCTGTTCCCAGGTTCTATTGCATGACTGCTAGCCTTGAGTTTAAAGTCCATATTACTGATAGATGCCATTTTGGTGTCCTTATACACACACTGTAATATTAGGATGAAGAACAGTATGTATTTCTCCACCACGCTTCTGATTACAGTAGCTGCAGCTGTAGCTTTACAGTTTACCAAAGTCATACTAAAGCATTTAGATAGAGTAAAACAAAATCACTTCGACGTCAGTGAGCACAATCAGAATCAATTCATGTATAAATTGCTCGAGATTATAAGTTACACTTTTGCTTTTTGAGAAAAAGAAAGGACCCGATATTGTAGAAAAAAAGGTACTTGGTTTCTAACAACTATTTTCTCTAGAGTTTATTTATTTTGATTCTCAGTTGGATACAATAGCATATTATGCTTAACGAATAAGGACATTCGATTAATACAGAACAAAAAGAAAACATGCCGGGCCTGAAAACTAAAGCAGATGAGGAGGAATTTTCTTTAGGAAATATTACATAAATATCTGGCAAAAATAGATGCTTCATTTGTTTGAAACCTCTTTGAGCTAAAGGGATTTTTTGAATAATAGTGAAAATAATATTCCTTTCAGATTACTGTTCAATCAACAAGAGAAATAAGAAAAAAAGGTGATATTTTAACAGGCTGCTGCTGAAAATTATCGGAATGATCCAATTTAATGTTGGTTCTTTGTACAGTTGTCTGTGGACACAGAACTGGTTCTTCCTCTGACGCCTGAATGTTTCATAGGTTTAGTGCCTCAATAAATTACAACTAACTATGAAAAGGTGCCAAACTAAATTTTAAGATTTTTTAAGACAAGTAGAAAAATCCTCAAAAACCACAAGAAATATTGATCCTAAACAATTTATAAGATTACATGAATGCCAGGCTTCCTGGAAGCAAAATATAAAGAGATGACTTTTTTTGAGTAAGAACAAGAGCAAACTTCTGCTTCTGGCCCCGAGCTGTGGTTTACGATTAAACTAAAGCCATTTGAGATGGAACCCACACATTAAATATTATTAAACAGAACAGCCTTGGTCCATCTACAGTTCCTCGCAAATGTTTTAATTTTTATTGCACATTTTGTCACAGTACAACCACCATGGTTATATAGTTTATGGCTATTTCATGTATAGACCAACATAAATGTATTTATAGCTGAAGCAATCTGTTAACTATATGTCATGCACTTAACAAATTAGTCCCTTTTTGAAGAGCGGGGAGTAGATAGAGAGCTAATATTCAGATCCAGTCAAAAGAGAACATAAAAACTCCATTCAGATAGTTCAAAGCAGGCTTTTTTTGCCACATGTTCAAAACAAACATGGGGAAATAAAACTGGCACTCCACACCCCCAGTGAGAAACATGGTGGTGATAGCTTCATGCTGTGGGGATACGTTTTCTTCAGCATGGATAGAAAAGGTCATCTGAATTTGTTGGTAGTTAGTTTCATACAGGAAATAAAATCTAGAGGATGCAAATGACTTACTGTTTTGAAAGTATCAATATTTTTTCCTGTAATACATTTTTGTTACCGTGTTTTAAAATACCTATCGTGTTAATGTCAGGATTTGGTTTTTATGAGGACTCAAAAGTAAAAGCTGAGAGGCAGGGGTGAGATCTTTGAAGGTTTAATCAAGGATGACAGGCAGCCAAACAGAAATCCAAAAAAATCCAACTTAAAAATGTAAATCAGAACAGGAATCCAACACAAGAATTAAACACAAACCAGGACCATGGAGACATTAGAGGAAGCAATCATGAGGAGCCAGGGTAGGAGGAAGTAAGACGAGGAACCAGCACAGAGGGACTGCAGAGGGAGTGTATTTATGGCTAACTGAACAGGGCAGGACTAACGAGCTGATAAGGAGCAGGTGTGAGTAGAGCTGATGAGGAAGCCAAGGGAAAAGAAAACACAAGAGGGCAATAGAGGACAGACAAAGAAAAACCTAAGAAACTTAAATAAATCCAGAACACACCAATAAAGCTAGAAAACAAGGAAAAACCTGGATGAACTTAAAACTGAAAACTTAGAGAAAACCAACAGATCCAAGATTGTTACAGTTAAGGGTTATTGGGGGATTTATTCAGCAGAAATTCTTATTTACTGTAAATATTATAATGATTAACCACATAAAACCCTAAAGAAAATGCATCAAATGTACTTTTTATGTGACAAAATGTGAAAAAAAGCTGTAAAACTTCTTCAAGGCACTGTACATGCAGACTCCCACAAGCTGAATGAGTTGGGAACCAGTATGTAGAGAGAGCACTGTCTTAACAAACATAATCCTGACGGGATGCATTGGCAGAAATGTGTCCTCCATGTGTGGTTTGGGTCGACCCATACCGCTGTAACGTGTGTGCTTCATGTCATTCAGTGACTGTTTGTACAGAGCAGCGTGTGGCAGTTTTTGTGGGACAACACTTTTCTCTGTGAGGCAGTGGCGTGGACGTTCAGTGTCTGACAGGCGCTCAGAAGGCTCCCTTTGGTTTCCTATTTCTGTGTTGGCTGTAGAAGAAGGAGTCCTGTGCAAGACAAACTTCATTGTTTGTTTTTTTATTTTGAATTGTTTTTCTCGTCCTGAAGCAAGGCGTAAAGCTGTTGTGAAGTGGGTCTGTTTTTCGTCTTTGAAATGGCCACGGGGTTACCCTGTCTCTCTGTGTTTCATCAATATTTCCTTTAAATGTGGCGTTTTACCCCCTCTGTCCTCTATGTGGCCCCAGAGTGCTCTAAAATCCTGCTGAGCACTGTCATATGGAATCAAAGATTTGTCTGAGCTGTGAACATGTCACTTATGGCAAATTTAAAATTGCATGTCAAATTGCTCTTCTTTTCAATTGGATGCATGTCTCTTGATCCATCTGCATGCAAAAACGTCACTCCTTGTTGCTGCCAAGGCTCTACTTTAACTGTCTTTCTTCCACTGATTTATTTCAATCCTCTTTTCTGATTAACACCAATCTTGCTGCCTCCTTCTGTAAGGAAAAAAAAAGTGGCACTTATCTCTAGTGTTACGTTGCGTTGTTTTACACATTATGTTGGTTGGCATGATTTTAAGAGTCAAATAATCTTCCTGTGTACATCTTCTAGCATGACCCTCCTCCTCAGAGCTCTGCCTCATTTGCACATAGAGCAGTCTTCCTTAGCACGTATTTTGCCGCCCTGCGAGGTCTGCATGCACTGCACGCTCAACTCGACTGTGAAGTGGACAGGCATCTGCACCTGATCTAAACAAAACCCTCAGCTAAAAAAAAAAGAAATATATTCACCTTATACCTGTTAACTCCACGCTTCTAATTTGGGCTCCCTCCCTGTATTCCTGCCTACTCACAAGTTTAAAGTTGATTTTTATTTTTTAAAGGTATGATTTACTGTTTCTATCAGAGATGTGTGCTGTTCTCTGGGAAGCAATGAGCCGAAGCAAACCGCCGAAAAAGCTCCAAGAAAACAGCACTCTGCTCCCCTCTGCCTGCTAACCATTTACTCACTCTCATCCTATTTTCTTTTCGCTAATGAACTCGTGTCAAAAAATATAATTTCACTTCCCCCGCAGTTGTTTCCTATCTGCAGTGTCGGGTGTTTTCGACGCAGCTCAGCATTTCCACTTGAATAAATTATAAATAAAGTCTAAATAATTGCCTAAAGTAATAGATGGGCCATGCAGATTTTTACGAAATATTGATTTCAACATTTTCTAGGAGTTCAAAAGGTAATTTCAGTTTAAAACACATCATTCCTCTAGCCCTTTATGGCTTCCTTTTATTTTGTTAACTCGCTACAGCAGCTGTAGAATCACTGGGCTCCTTTGAGATGAACTTCTGTGGTGTGATTGTGTGTCTGTGTTCTTGTTGTTGCTGGATATATATCCTTGAATAGACAGTATCTATTTATGGAAGGAGGCGACAGACAGTCTTTTATTTCTATTCTTGATTGCAGTTAGTGTAGAGCGTTGGAAACATTGGTAAAGATGGGAAAATCGGGAGCCTTCTAATAATTGTATCTTTCATCACAGTTGCATAATCTCTCACTGAACAAGTTTTCCAAAAATTCCAATGTTATTTTTCAGTTTACATTTTTGGAGACCCTATGACTCCGTCATACAGTAATGGTAATGCTTTATTTCTTCCATGTTACACTGAAAAACATGTCTTACTTTGAGAAGGCTGAGGATTCTGTCTACACCAGTTAGTCCTGACAGGAGGCAGGAGGACAAACTCGTGACATGGAGCACAGGTCAGGGGTAGAGCAGGGTAATTTAGGTGCCCAAAATAAAGTTAAGGATAATTGAGGATTTCAAAAACCTACATCAAGTCAAGAACTGTATAAAATCATTCTGCTGCACGAATTATACAATTACAGTAGTTCCAATTCGCCTCTTTACAAGGGCTTAATAACTATAGGGATTGTTGGATAATTTTCCTTGTGAAGTTTGAATAGGTTCACCTCTAACAGGCGACCCCTCTAGTTCATCTTCAGTGCCTGCAGACTGGCTTCAATAACTTAAAACATGCATATATTTCTGAGCAGGAATATAAATCCAGGAAACACAGGCTTAGTTTAGCATACATATATAAAAAGGAAAATGGCCAATCTGCCTCCACCCAGCGATAACCAAATCCTCCTACTGGGCCGTAAGCTCTCATGGTGTAATCACTGCTGCGCTGAACTATTTCTGAGTAACAATCTGGAGCTTCGTTTCTGATTGAAGCGGATCAAACAAACTGCAAGCTGCTGGGTGGATTTTGTTACTTTTTGGGCAGAGCTGGGCTCTAGCTAAGCCACCGAAAAGCACCTGGGATCAGAGCCTCAGCATCTCCTAAATCATCAAAATGGACCAAACATGCCATCTCTTGAAATATAGCAAATCCTTTCCTTGGAGTTAACAACAAAGACAGGGAACTTTTAGCTGTTTCATTGACAAATATGTTTTATCTGCTTTAAGTGGACATTATCGCACCCAGCATTTAATGAGAGGGTGGACTGAATTAAAAGTTAATATATTTTTAAACATTTAGTTGTAATAATTATTCCTTTAACTACCAAATATTAAAGAAGTGATGGTAGTTGATTATAAATATGAACCTATTTCAGGTAAGTTACTAGTTAATGAGGACTAAAGTTGATCTGAGGGTTTTTTCCAGTGGTGTCAATATCAGTAGTTAGCGTCGAACCTACAGTATATAGATCCATGAATTTCTCATTTCTTCCAGTTAGATTTCTGTCCTTTCAAAGAGGTTTATATCTCTAATTTTGAAGACTTATTGATATTTGTGTTTTAGACAATTAGTTTCACTCAGATTTGTCAGTTTAACCCAATGGCTTTATTGGGATTCTAAGTTGTCGGAAAGAAAACAAACAACATGATGAAGCCACCACTAAACAGCCCATAGTGCTTTTAGCCTCATAAGGGATGCCTTGTCTTAGATGGCGACACCTAACTGTTTTGGTCAAAGGAAACCTAAATTTAAAAAAAAATGTTCTTTGGTAACATTATCTGCAGAGAAGATCAGATTGCTCTGAAAACCTCTCTTTAAAACGGCAGCGTTGTGGTATGGAGGCGTTTTTCTTAAGCTGAAACAGGGAAGCTGCTCTTAGTTGAAGGACGATTAATATTCTTATTGCAGGGTAACCCCAATGATAAACCTGTCAGAGGATGCAAAACATTTGATGCAATTGTAATGGAAGATAAGGGAGGGTTGAGTAAACTTTATTTGAAAAAAATTGCAGAAGAGGTGGTTTTACAAAGTTTATGTCATGTTCAGTGAATACAATAACAAGCAACAACTATATCTCCTCTACCTTCCACCTTTTAGTAACTTCGTTTTAACTGTAGGTAAATGTATAAAACTCAAACAAAGGGGGTTTTAGTTTGTGCTTCCAGCAGAGCAGAAGTTAAAAAAGGAAGAATATTAAAAGTTTTGGAGTATTGGGTGCTTAAACATTAATTCTGTAATGTATAATGTATGTGTATAGTTGTAGATGTTTCCGTGTGTGTTAAAGGTTAGGTCTTCGTCAATATGTGTCTTGAGTATGTGTGTGGGTGTGTGTTTTGCTGGAGAGTGTTGTGTTTATGTGTTTCAGCAATGGTACACTGCCACCATGAACCTGCTGGGGACTTGGCTTACCGAACGCATGGATCAGCAGCTCCATGTCTATCAGCTCAAGATCCTCATCAGAATCACAAAGGTGAGACCCAAAACATCTCATGTGGTTTTATTAGAATGTCCAGAAAAAACCAATGCATCCCGTAATGCCGAGTGGATGGATCTGTTTGTTTGCCCTGCAGAAGAAGTACAGAGACTTCCGCCTGCAGGGTGTCCTGGACTCCACCCTGAACAGCAAGATGTACGACACAGTGCGCAACAGGCTGACGCTGGAGGAGGCCACTGCTTCAGTGAGGGAAGGAGGCATGCAGGGCATCTCCATGAAGGACAGCGACGAGGAGGATGAAGAGGACTAGAGTCTGTGCACTGACTCCCCAGTCGTCTGTTTGTCCAAAACCGCCCGTCTCCCCCTTTCAGCCCATTTCCCCCCAAACTCCCCTTTCACACTTTTGACTTTAGCCTGGTTACTGATGCATGTACCAACTCAGATAGCCACTCTAGGACCTCTTTGTCAGCTCGAAATGCCTATGAAGGAACTATTAACTATAAAGATAGAAATTATACTGAAAAAAGTCTAAATAAAAAAATGTTTAAAAAATAACCATAATTGGCAGTTTAGCTGTGTCATAATAAAGATAGCACCTACCTTGGTCGTCATTCATTTCTAAATTCATTTCTATGTGTTAACTAAGCAATATGGAGAACCATTTGTTTGACAATGTTGAGTGCGATTAATCGGTGTGTCCCTGTCCAATGCAAACCTATATGGCGCTTCTTTGTCGTATTCTACATTCATTAATGGTACATTGTCGTGATGATGAGTGTGTGGACCCTTTTCTTTGTCTCGTCTGTTTTTAAGTGAATGCCAACTGCTTGGAACTGAAAATAATGAAAAACGAAAAAAAAAAAAAAAGAAACTATTTGTTGACGGCTGTTCCAGCTGAGCTGTCGTCCACTCACTGTTGCTACCACCGACAGTAAGTCCAGACCTGCATTTCCTATCATGTGTCAACGCTACATGGTCTCATCTCGATGACTAAATTAGACGAATCTTGAATTTCGAGTGGGTGTTCGGGAGATGCAATATCCCTATAGATCCATTTTGATATCTTGGAAGATTCTATTTTTATTTTAACATTTAAAAAAAAAAGGCCTAGAAACAGGTTCTATTTTAATTGAGTTGCACTTTTACAGACAAAAAGAGCAAAAATAATTTTTTTTATTGGGGAAAAAAAAAAGTTGGTCTGTGTTTGTTCTGTAATTGTGTAGACTGAGATGTCTGGCATTTGTTTGGGTCTCACTGTTGTTTTGTATATACTATATAAATATATATAAATATAAAATGCTGTACATTGCATTCTGAGCCATCGCTGCATGCCCGTGGGTTCCTACCCCTTCCCCCCCAAACGCTTTCTGTTTTCTGTGTGAACTAGCTGATGGATTCATTCTTGCTTTTTTGCCTTATGAAAGCCAACAGTTGTAATATGCAAGAGCTGTGGCCTCCAAATAAAATAACTGTACATGTGCATCTGCAGTCTTGTTTAACCGCTTTATCATACAGACTAAAGCAGTCATATAGGTGGATCTTCATAAACTAGTAAAGCTTAAAAATGTATCTATTAAAGTTAATCAGCTTTAAAACTGAAGCTCATATTATAAGGTGTCCAAATATGGCCTGGGGCCCATTTTTGGCCCCGAGAATGATTATGTAACCGGCGTTACATTTAGTGTGCATATTTTATTAACTACACCCATTTTTCATGACTTTCAAACATGCTGCAACTTTCAGTCAGTTGCAGAAAAGGTTGGAGCCATTCTTTAAACCTGGAAAGTCTAAGATTTCTTCAAGGAGTGACCCGTGTTCTGCTCCTGTCGTTAAGCGACTGAAGACATTTTTAACATGCATATTATTTTTCAATGTTCCACATGCTGTTCTATTCCTTGGATCCAATTGCATGGACCCATGGCACAAACTCCATATTTTAGATCTTTCAGTAAACTACAACATAAAATCTATTTTCCAGAGAGAAGCAAAACATTTTATTTACTGAAAGGCAATCATTTTGGGTGCCCGTTGCCTCAACATGGCTATGAAGGAATTAACATACAGTATGTCTGGTTGCTTAAATAGCATTTGACAGGTTTGGTATCAGTCTTTAAACAATAGGTGCGCCTGCAAATAAATGAAATAAAAGCAACATTTTCTGAAAATAAGCTCATTTTGTCTTAAATTGAGCAGATAAATGAGACACTTTGCTAATAGAATAAGACAATTTAGATTTGAAATAAGAAAAAAAAACTGCTCTCATTTCAACGTTAGAATATCCACTTATCTTATTTTAAGGGTAAAAATACAGCTTCTTTTGGAAGATCATCTCATTTACCTACTCAAATTAGGGGCAAATACACTTATTTTAAGAACCTTTTACTCATCTCTATATGGTCTTTGCAGTGCGATTTAGGTTGGTACTGTATGAAGGGTTCAATGCTGCTAAGAGAAGAAAAAAACATACATCTTTTACATGAAAACGTTCACATTACTTAATCCTCTCCAGGCTGCAGTAGATTGCAAACCTGTGTTGTTGTTTTTTTTTACCACACCCATTTTCTTTACTAAAGGTCTGTTAGGACTCTGAGCAGGCACCTTCTTTAGCAATTCATTTTTTTGTGGTTTATGCCTGAAGACTGCCTGCTAGAAAACTGCCCAGTCAGCAGTCCTCCTCATGACAGAACAGACACCAACAGATGTAAAACAAAACACTTCTGCAGTATTAGTCTTCCTTGGATAATGAGTTTCTATTAATTTCACTTTTTAGACCGATATAAATAAACTTGTTGATGATAATCAATTTTCTGACATTCACCTGGAGATGCAGAGTGACCTTTACATTTTGAAAAGAATATAAAGCTAAGAAATATTTTAAGATCATTAAGAGTTGAAGAAGCACAGAGCCTTTATCTCTTACAAAAACAGCATATCTGTTATTTTATCCAATGAGTTTGGTTCTGTTTTATGACAATGTTTTAAATAAAACACGCTACATTTAAATAAATTTGCAAGTAAATGAACACCAAAGGTTTAATCTGCCTTTTACAATAAAGAACAAGATTCACATCATCACACCAGTCTTACATATTTCATGGCAGTTCTGCACCTTTACTCATAAGCGATCCCAGTTCTGTCAGCAGGGGGCGGCAGGAGATACAGGATTATTTTTGACTCAAAGTCAAAGCATCAACCTTTGATGTAACATCCAGGCTTCACACTCCAGTAATAAAGGAAGATACTGAAATACAAACATGATATGATGAAAGAGAACGTTTATAATCTCAAAACAAATTTAACCACTGACCTGGGCCAAAATGAGCCAAGTCTTGTCTCCCTGGACCACAAAGTAAATGTCAGGAAGATCCTGTCAAAATCTGAACAGGGATTTCATTGCAGACATTAAGAGGATAAGGTTTTTACAAACTGTACAATCTAGAAGAAATGAAAGCTTATCGAAATGAAGCATCATTCCTGAGGGGTTCACCGCCAATTTCAACATGAAGACATTAGTTAAGAGAATACAGAAAGTAAATAGATACACAAATAAATCAAAGACTCGAGTTCAGGGTTGAAAAGGGATTATAATTATAGCCACAAAATAACGCAGAGACGGAATTTCGGCCTGGATAAAATACAATTGTACAGTCGGAATTTGTAACCTTGTTTACTAGAGTGAGGAAAGCATCACAAAAGTAAAATCTCTCCGGAAGGCAAGTTCCTGAGGCTCAAACAGAAACATGCTTTAACTCTGGATAAAATTCACACCTCAGACACTGGAAAATCTGTACGGAACAATTTGATTTTAAACGTTCGTCGGTTAAATAGATCTTAGGACAAAACCACTTAACATGTCGCAAACTGGAACCACATCTTTGGTTACAAATAAAGCATCAACCCACCAAGAAGGAAAGTACAGTGTCTATAGAAAAGTTTTCACCTCCCTTGGATTATTACTTCTTTTTTTTTTTCATGTTTTATTTATTCACAGAGTTTCTTTTAAATGAGACACTGATCAGCAGACGCTCATGTCAAGGTGAAAATAAATTCTAAAAATTAATGGAAAGTCAAATAACGGCAAACAATTGTAATTGTTTGGATGAATGACGATGCAAAATTAATTATTTTTGTGTGTAAAAGTGTTTAAATGTGCTACTATATAAGCAGGATTAACTAGAGGTCTGTGGGGCCACAGGAAGAATTTCATTTTGAAACCTTCCAGTCAGTAAAGAACATCCTATGAAAAGTTTATTTACCCTTACAGACTTTTTCTACCTGCATGTTTTAGATCTTCACAAACATTTATTCCCCCATCTGCACCCCCCGCTACCCTTTTTATATATATTGAATTTAATGTCAGACTTGAAGAATCAGTCATTAAACTACGCTGTCTGACAACATGAAATAGGTTAAAAAAATTCATGTCATTAGTCTGGAAAGATCTAAAAGCCATTTTTTAAGCTAGAGGGGCTGCAGTGAGAGCAGTTATATCCAAATTAGTCCAAGAGTGCATCAATGACTCCTCCAAAAGATTAGAGTCACCTTACAGACCTCATTCACATTATATTAGTTTTAAATAATTCAATTCTGCAAAAACACTTGAGCCAAACTTTCACCAAAGGATATAAACAACATATTGCTAGTTGACACAACTGTTTATATGGTAGCTAATACTTTGACATATAGCTCCAGGTGGATTTGAGTTTTTTTTCCTTTAATAAATACAACTTTCTTTGGTCATCTTTGTTGACCTAAAACATTATGGTGACATATAATCCCAAAAAATCTGTAAGCAGACAAATATTCCGCACTTTTGTACTATATTTAAACATACATTTGGTTATTCATTTAATTACAAAATGACTTAAATGGTTATACTTCTCTATTTTTAGGTTCATTAAAATGGTTTGTTCTTTTGAATTCACTATTCCTCATTTTCACTACAAACATCAAACAACATAATGTGTTTTGTGACCTACTGTGGGCATGTAGGAACTCAAATGGAGGCCCCCTACTGGCATGGGAATGGTATGGAGCAGCTCCAGATCCGAGCACAACTAACATGTTAAATTACTGGTTAGAATAAAGAAAGTTAAGGTTACAATTTTGCCAAAAAAAAAAATATATATATGGATCAGTCAAGTACTGGAATGACTTCCAAGGCACTGAATTAAATCTTCACAGGAGGATCAAGTGACATTGCTTGTCTTAAGTAAAGTCTAATGAATCTGTGAAATATCAAGTGTTACTGCGTTTAAATATTTGCAGGAATGTCCTAAAAACAGAACAACGATGTGGTAACGTGTGTTACTCATAGCAGCTCGGCAGGAAATAAATCAGCAGCACCCACAAAGGTTCTTTGATCAAACGGCAAGGAAAATTGGAACAATTTAGAAATCCTAAGCTAAGATCCACCACAAGGAAATTTGTTTTCACCTTGATTTTTAAATTCATTTTGCGGGTTGATCAGTGCCGGGAACAAACTCGAATCACACCGCGACAAAACGCTATAAAATAAAACATGAAAAATTTTGTGCAGAGTGAATTTTTTTTTTTTGTACATTTTCTTGTAGGCATTGCATTGTGTCGGTACAGATACGTGTGTTAACGGCTGTGACTTGCTGAGGTTAGAGAAGCAACAACAAAAGCCAGAAAAAATAAAAAAACAGTAAAAAAAAAAAAAAAAAGGCTGGAAATGTGCAGGCCGTTCAGGACAAGCTACATAACCTCCCCCAGGAATATGGAATCTAGTAGTACAGAAATAAACATAACAGGGCTATTAAAGATAATATATATATGTGTGTATATATATATATATATATATATTACAAAACAATACAACAATATAAATCCCTGTAAAAAGCAATAAATGTTCACATTAGAGATTGCAACACATTTTTTTAACAAAAATAAGCCATAAGTACATTTTACAGGACAGCAGTGAGATTTTGGAACATTAATGTAGAAGCAGCTGAAAAGTCTGTTCACATGATCAAAAGAGGAGTGAAAAAGTGTCAAATAATACATGCTGGGTTATGTAACCATGTGATGAAGTGGTTTAAGACTTGACTGAAGGTGGATCGCTTCAACTCATCCTGGTCTTCATGCGTCAGGTTTTGTCTCCAGCCCGAGGTTAGGTTCCACTCGCTGGGTGTAGGCAGTAACACTGATAGTTTAGTGCAAAGTGGACAGAGCTGCTTTTTCCTTATGTCAACTGAAACGGGTGCAAACGCTCAGCAGGAGAACATTTAAGACAAGAAATAAAAGACTGAAGAAAAAAAAAACATAAATATCAAAAAACCTTTTTATCAGTATAAAAAGTAATAAGGTTATTCGTTTAATCAATAGTCTGGCAAAAAAGGCCTCAGTATAGTTCTTGGATTGGTTGTTAATTTTTTTTTTTTTTTTTTTACAAATTAAGTGCCTGCAGGGACGTCCTCAGACGAGCGACTCCATGCTCTCCGCAGGGTCCGACTCATCTGCAATCACCACCACCCCGTTAGTGTCCGTGTGAGTGGGACTCAGGCTGCACTCTCTGTTGCTGACCAGGCTCAGCATGGCTTTGTAAAGGTACTGGTACTGCTCCTGTGCAACAAACAGAAATATTAAAGGAGTTAACAAGACCAGACAGTAAACATGTTCGGGTTTGATTTAAACTGGACTTTTATTCTAAAAGGCATCTTTCTTCTTAGTAACATTCTTTGACCATAAGGAGGCAGAGGTTAGGCCCCCAATCAGGCCACACAGCCCACTCTAACCTCAATTTTTGCTCTCTTAGCTCTCTGATCTCCAGGGTGAGAAGCCTCACTTCCTGATTGATTCTCATGTTGAAGATCAGCTGAGGGTTTTTTCTTTCCTAAGACCTTTAGACATTTCTCCTGCTCCTATCAACGGGTGGTCTGCGTAAACGAGACTGATCGAACTTCTCCCACAGTGCTGATAAAGAACATCAAGTATAATTTACAGCCTAGTCTGAAAATGCTGCAAACAGTTTTGCTTTTTTAACGTGACATGCACAACAAGAAAAACAAGTAGTGCATAATTGTTAAGAAAAACTAAAGTGTTAACAAACTAAAGAAGGCATGGTTTTAAAAAATAAACTTCGCATGAGGTTTGTCTCTGCCCCATTCTCTTCTAAATTATTGTTAAAAAGGATGTTAACACCTGAATAAACTTTGATCTTAAAAGCTCATAGGTGCAACCTTTTCATTTAAACAATTAGTAAAAAAAAAAAAAAAAAATACATCCACAGAACATCTAGAGTGATGCAGATAAAAGTGTTACTTTACAAAATATATAAATGTTTCCTTCTGTTTATGATGTGAAGATTGACATGAAATGATTCTGCAGCAACAGAAACAGAAGGGTAAAGGTTAGAAGGTGATACCAGTAGCTCTTTAATAGCTCTGAGAAATTGCTTTTATTCTCAGAGCTTTTAATATATAAATAAACAGACACAAAAAGCGTGAACATCAGGTTCAAAAAAGCAACATCAAGGTTGCCACCTTTCTTCTAAACTTGTGATTACATCTTTGGTTTTATTAAGATTAGCATTGCCATTAGCTTTAGCAGACCTGACAACTGGCTTGCAAACAGTACAGAAATAGAGCAGATGAGTGCGCCACTTACTGGTCAGGAGGAGCTTAACTTGTAGCTACCACCTTTAACATTTCCTCTGCATCTCCCACTTTATGTTTGAAGATTCTTTCTCGCTGGAAGCTGAACTTCTGCCCCAGTTTTATGTATTTGTGTTTTTCTGTCTGCCTTAAATTTACCATCATGCATTTTGCTGTCAATCAGATACCTCTACAGAATAGCATCCCAAAGCATGATACTGTCGCTACGATGTTCTGGATTCACAGGGCAGATTGACCAAAACTTTCCATTTTGGTCCTGGCTAAGAAACTTTCTTCAGTAAAACATGCTGAAGAAGGTTCCTTAGTATGTTCTGTTTTCTCTTTGCTGCTCTGTCATAGAGGCGTTGAGGGTACGATTAATAGTGGCCATGTCTTAATATTTTCACACTTGAGCAGTGGTAGCTTTCCACTGAACACTCTTTTCATTTTCAGGAGACAAACTGAGCAGTGCTGTGTCGCTGCATCTGTGAGATGCTCTGAAGTTTAAAAGTGTTTCTTTAAATCCCAGTTTAAATCTTGAACCAATCTGCTGCCTTCCTTGGTCTCCATAAAGCTGTTCTTTCCCTCATAGAGCTCTTACCAACCTGACAGAACAGCTGTGTTTATGTTAAGATTCAATTCAACACTGGGTGACTACTGACAGATTAGATGACCTCTGAATGTAGTTTTATTTACACATACTAGAATTATGAGGGATTCAAACATATGTTAAATTGCTCAGATTATAGTTGATAATTTTTCTCTCATTTTACATTCCTGTTGGTCTATTATGAAAATCCCATCAAAGGAAAATAAAATGTGTGTTTTTGACAATATAATAAAAGTTCAATAAGTATGAAATTGAATATGTTTTGGACAAATCAGTATTTAATTATGTATAAAAGATCCATAGGAGACAAAATTCATACTTTAAAAAATAGTTGGACATATTTTTTAGTTTGTAAAAAGCAATATCTGCTAATATTTTTCAAGGTTGGTCTTAAACTTTATCAAACTATATAAAGTAGTTATCTGGCCACTTGGTGGCAGTAGAGCAAGGTTTAATAAGACCTATAACTTAATCATCAAATGTGTCGGTAAGGAAAGGAAACAATGGAAGTCTTACTATATCAGTGAAGACCCCTGGCCTCATGAGATTGATCATCTTGGCCACCTGATAGATGTCGACGACTCCCTCGCTCTCCAGCTGCTGGGACAGCGTGGTGAGGGCGCAGAGCATCCCCGCTGACACCGCTCCGCACCTAAGAGGAGACGTTTGCTGTGAGCTCTGAACAGGTGTCAGGTGTTTTTCAGCAAGGTTACAAACCGCTGCTCATTTAAATCAGGGTGCTGTTTTAAAAAAAATCTTTTTTATGGCTTCAATTCTATTTCACCAGAGTCCTGCACAAATAGGCGGAGGATGCTGTGTTATTCCATTATATCTTCAGGAAATAATTTAATAAACTGTAGGCAGACTAGGAGAAGCATCCCATTAATGGCAGCTGAGATGCTGCAGACACTGATGCATGTAGAAGGATCATCAGCTGGGAATCTGAGCATATTTTTTTTGTAATACTGTTGCCCATAAATTATCAGCGCTGATCTACACTTAAGGACTTTAAAGCCCAGAGGTATGCAAAGCACTCAACATTAAACTGCATTGCTTTGAATATAATCCCACTTGTGCTAAACCCCCATAATTAAGAAAAAAATAAATGAATATGAGTCATCTCTAAGACTTTTTCACCGTAGTTTGATTTACAACCTAATAGTCTGTATGATCATTTAGCCTTAAAAACCCCACTGCTTAACTTTGGGAGGAAGGGTCACATACTCATCGTGCACAATTGTGGGGCCATCTCGGGTCATGGCTTCTTCCTTGATGACGCTGATGAGCTCAAAGGTGCTGCTGAGAGGAGCGTCCGGGTTTGGCCATTTGGGGCACTGAAAGTGTCTCACCTCCAGAACATAATCATCCTGATAAGAGCAGAAACATTTTTTTTTTACTTCTTTTGCTGATTTCTGAAGCATAGATGCAAAACTGTGCTTTAAAGATATGAAAGATGTATGGAACCTGCAAAAGAGAGTGAGGGTGGAGGGATGGAAATAACATTTAGAGTTAGTTTGCAGTACAAATGCCTCCTAATCTACTTTATTTTCCAGACCTGTTACAAAGTGTAAATACATTTCTACTATTTTCCAGAGGTTCACAGACCGAGTAGGAGCCCCGACCTCCTGATCCTAATTAAAACCTGCTCTCAGAGCTGTTGAACAACTCCTCATTAACAGCTATCAGGGTTAGCAGGTACCTGCGTGGCCTCCAAGATGAAGTCATGGATGATGATTTGCTCCTCATTGGAGAGGCACAGTCTGTCCTTACTGATGAGAGTTACAGTGAAGGCGATGCAGTTCATGGCCTCCTCTCGGCTCGGCCAGTAAACAAATTCATCCTCGGCCTGCGGGGAGAGCGGTGACGCGCGCATTATTTAAATCCTCTACTAATTATTCATCAGTACTCCTTCTCTGCACAAACGTTTAAACGATTCTATTTTTCATGGCTGCTCACTCACCAGCCCCTGGTTATCAGGCAGCATGACGATAATCTGAGCATTGTGGTCCCAAATCATCCTCCAGAAGTCTGTGGTGGTGTGGGGCAAAGGATGCTGGGTAATAATGAACTCATTACTCCGGTAGTAGCCCTGAGTTGACAGAGGTGGAACAGTTAGCCTTTTGCACAACCCATCATTTTCTCAGCAGAAGCTTAATGGCTCAGGATAGAGAAATGCAACTCATTAATTGTCAACACTGTACCATTATGTAGGATGCATTAATGTAATCTGTTCCTTTCATGCCAGGCAGAGTGGTGAGTCCAACCCTTGCTCTTTCCGCTGTTGAGGCACAGACAGGGGAAAAGAAAAAAAAACAGCTTTAAATCCCAACCCAAGCATCTTTTATATCACGCTGGCTGATAATGCACACATTCATTATCAGTCCTTGCTGTTGCCATAGCAACAAGTTCCTCCTTTTTCTCCTGACAGGAGAACGGGTGCTGAGAATGCATAGAAAGATTAACTTATAGGATTATGGAAATGGATTCTAAATTTGGAGCAGGAATTGTCTTAATAATTCACAGGCTGATAAAGGAAATAAATGTGCATTACGAAGCGGAGTGATTGGTTGTTTGCTCGAGCTTGGGGTCCAAATAGAGGACGCTGCGGTAAATACTCACAGGGAACCACAGACGAGTTGCGGTTCTTTTCCTTGTTGCAGTCTTTGTGTGCGCTGAAGCACTCGACGAAGCGCGTGTTGCATTGACTCAGCAGCTGGAAACAGAGGGTGATAAAAATGATCAGATTTCAATCCTGAATGTCAGAGGGAAGCTGACTAAACATGAGGAAAAGGACACAACTTATGAAAAATAGCAGTGTGTGAAGCTGGGAAATAAGAAACATTATTATTTCCTTTCCTCCCTTCATATTGAAAAAGCCACAATTAGATTAAACATTCATCCAAGTTAGCATAGCATAATGAGTGACAAACATGGCTTCCTAAAGCAAACATCAAAGTCATGTTTGGTCTCTGGCTATGTCCGAAAGTCCGCCCTAATCAGTGTATAGGGCACTATATAGTGGTTACGCCAGTTTAGATGAGTGTCCGAACGTCTAGTGGATGAAAAAGTAGTGGACTCGACGTGTTCCATAATGCACCTTGCAAAGTATTATCATCCATGGTCAGTAGATGATCAGATATAGCCAGGAATGCTTTGCGTGGAGAGCTCTCCTCGCAAAGCATTATGGGATTTGTTGTCACAGAGGCCCGCTGTTACCTAAGGCTCTCACTATTCAACAGCGGCGACAAATAACAAAAAAGTGTGCATGCAATGTGCGGGGAGGCGGAGTCACATGACCAACAAAGAATGAATAGTAGTGATCATCTGTCCAAACTATCCGATACCTGAGTTCACTATAAAGTCCACTATATAGTCCGCACTTTAAATAGTGATTGAGGGATTAGGGTGGATATTCAAGCCACCATTTTTTTATTGCCCTTAACCAGAAGATCCATGGACCAGCCAGGATCCAGCTGGTGGTGATGAGGTAAAGCTGGTTAAGATGAAGCCCTTACCCTGAACTGCTTCTCCAGCCGTGTGCGGCCAGCAGAGTTGGGCGTCAGGATGCTGTTAACGTAGCCATGCAGCTTCCAGGCTGGCACCTCCGTCTCCCTGCTGAGGATGGCCTCCATCAGCGCGTCGTGGATAAAAACATACTGCTCCTGAAAAGAAAAAGTGGATTTCTGCTTTCAAAATTATTTTCATAGAAAGCCATTTTTCCCTTCATTTCAGGGGCCTTCAGTTTGAAATTTATTTGTGAGGACCTTCATAAAAATAGTCATAAAATAAAGCAAAACTCTTGCTGTTGAGTGTAAGAGTTTACAATGATTTATGGCTTCAGTTATGCAACACTACATCATACAATAACATACTCCTCGCCCTATTTATTATGAGTTAGGATTCTACATCAGTCAAATGATATATGCCCTTTGTTCAATGGGTAACTTGTTGTATTATCCTACATCTGCATCACAGAATTTGGTTTAAACAAGTAGAAGCAACTCATATATAACAATGAATGATAAATCACCACAAGAATGCTTCACTGAGGAATAAAGTGGTTGCTTGTTTTATGAGAATATCTGAACTGGAGGGTTTCAGGTCTGAAGGTGTGGCAATGTTGCAAAATAACTACATTTATTTCATATTTGTAGTTAAAGACTATGTCTGTATACTTAGGCTCCAGAGAAACTCATGTAGTTTTTATTTTCATATTATATGGAGCATACAGTAATTCACTTTATTTGACAGAAGGCATCGTGGGATCACATGTTATGTTAAGGTGCGTTTATACAGCAGGGATCTTTTCAGAAACCAGGTCAATATTTGTTCCACTCTGCAGGTCACCTGAGGGAACCAGGGCTCAATGGAAATAGAACAAGGACATAGATCTAACAAAAAAAAAAAAACAGCTCTGCTGGAGAGCTGGGCCCTTTTTGATGAACTTGAAATTGGATCTTTGTAATCGAAGGAAGCCTAAATATCGGCACCTTTTTGTTCTCTTATCTTCCTCTTCTGGTTGTATATCCTGTCAACTTTAAATGACATGACAACGGTTCTGTGGTTACTAGTTCTGCAAACACATCTCTAATAATCCAACCGTGCTGAATATCTCCATGTTTAAGAGTTGGCAATTTTATACATCAGGAAAACCTAAATGGAAAGTTACTTCTACTAAAGGCACTTCCTCGGACACGCAAAGAAGCTCTCTCTCTTCAAAGCCCGTTTTAGGAGATTTGAACCAGTGAAGTTTAAAAAAAAAATGATTTGGCTTTTATGCTCTAAGAAACAGATTAAAGCAGCTGCTCAGGATCATTGATCATTAATTGATTTTTAGGTTTGAATGGTGAGACGCACCGCTGCAGCAGCTGCTGTGGTGGGTATGAGACAAATCTCACAGCATTTAATTATTCAATGTCGGTGGATTATTACAAACTTTCTCTGAATTAGAAGCCTTTTTAATTTAGTTGTAGAGCTTAACTTCTATTAAAACTTCCAAAACCACCATCAGGGCTCTCTGTTTTTCCTCTTTTATCAGGAATCTGGATCAGTCCATTTAAAATCCACTTCCACTGCTGTGATAAAAATATAAGCTTATTCCTGTATTTACATGATTTCCCAGTTTTGAGATGCCACTCTGTCCTCAGACCAAGGGAATACTCCAGCCCAAAGTGATCTAGATCTGTAGCCCAGATGTCTATCAGGCTTTCAATGATGTTCTGTAACTGCGATGAGGAGTTTATTAAATGTTTACATATTTTATTCATGACGGTTTTCAGACTGTTTGTTTTAAAATGAGAAACTGTTTGTTAGTAGTGATACTCATTCATTAAAAGAAAAACTGAAAAAAGTGATTATGGAGACTTCAGATTTTTCTTAAGAACATTTTTTTTTATTTCTAACTTGTGGATAATTCTCAAAGCTACTTTCAGTTCGATCAGAGTGAACCTGTATTTAGGAGAGACGGTTGACTTCCTGTTTTCATTTCTACGTTCTTCCCTCGATTCTATTGAAGCTTCAGGAGTCCATGATTTAAGGAAAAGAAGAGAAGCATGAACTACCTCTGGTGTAATACGGTCATTGGCATTATGGGGAGTGTGTAAGCGCTTGAACTCTGAGGTACAGCGAAAATTGCAGCGAGCGTGACCTTTACCTGAGCTCTGAGTATCAAACTGAATAAACTTCATAACCGCTCTCCCATCTTAAATCACAGCTGACCTTTAAAAGGAGAAATCCGGTTTTCCAGGCTTCCCTGACAAGTTGGGCCACCTTACCTCAGTCTGGACTAGGTAGTTGCGTTGTGTGCGTATATGTTTGAGAAAGTCCAGGACACTGGCTGTGCTTTTGTCCTTGATTTGTTGCAGCATGCTGTCGATGACGATGTACGTTCCCGTGCGTCCGACCCCAGCACTGCAGAGTACAGCGAAAGGTGTGAGTGAAAGTTCAGAAGAAGAGATTACAAGCAAACCATGCATCATTTTGAATGTCAATCAATTACACTCTATTAGCTCTGGAGGCAGATATGGAGGACGCACCTGCAGTGCACCAGGACGGGACCCATATCTGCAGTACGAGCTGCTGAGGAGCGGTTAATGAAAGTGAGGACAGGGAGGGTGTACTCAGGTACTCCCATGTCAGGCCACTGAGTGTAATGATACTGGACCACAATCCGCTCATTTAGCTTCCCTTTCTGGTTCCCCTTCTGACCCTGAAACATTAGAAGATGGGAAATGATGTTCTGATGTTAAATTCTGCAAGAATGGGGCAGAAGAAAATACAAATATTAGAATCCCTACCTCAATATAATGAAGGTAGCAGTAAAATCTATTGATCACATTTTTATAAATTACATTTCAGTTCATATTATCAGACATTTTACTGTACTTCAATAATGAAGTCGATGTTAAGTCAGTTGTTTAATTTTATGATTCATTTATTCTTTTAATATAGCAAGTTTGTATGTATTCAGCACATTATTTTTAAGTAGCCATAAATAAGGCAAGTTGGGCAAGAAAAATTTTTTATACAGTGTCTAAACAATTAAATGCTGTATACTACATCAGAACAGAAAAGAAAAGTACGTATCATTGGCATATAGGTAACAGATAATTATGAAAATAACAATGAATAATTGAAATGAGATGATTATATTAGAAAAATATATAAAACAATTCATAAAAATGTAAAATTGGATTGAAATTAAATTAATAATATTTAGATAGCACATTTCACTTGATACAAATCCATTTTTTATTCTTGATTTTATGTGACTGAGGGCTTCAGTGCTTTTAAAGCTTTCTGGGTATTTATTCCAGATTAGTGCAGCATCAGAACTAAAGTGAACCTTAATAAACCAGATCATTTATGAAGGCCCACTGATATTAGGGTAAGTCAAACATGAGGGGAAGTTAAATAAATTAAAAATAAGGGCTAGATTTAGGTCTTACTGAAAGTCCACAGATATTAGGGTTAAAGATAAACTAACACGGCAGGGCAATATTTATGATCTATTTACCTTATATAAATAGTTTAGATGCAGCTTAAAAATAATTATTGAGTAGTAATAAACTATCTTTTAATCATTAATAAATGGTCTCTACCATTTATTAATGATGGTTTTGATGATTGATCAAACCTGTTTGATCAGGTAAATGTCATCCGTTTTGTTGCCTAACAACAAAGGGAGCTCAGATTGTTGAACGACTCATTCACCGTCACATCAGATCCTCTCACGTTATAATTGTGAGTTTTTGAGAAGGGGGGGGGGTCACAAAAAATTTGCCTGGGTGATTAATAACACACATTTAACACATATATCAAATCAAGCTAATACTTTGGTCACAACTTGTCTGCTGTTAATTTAAACTTTAGAAAGTTCTCCAATTCAGAAAGAAACCACCTGCCTTCTTATTTCACCTACTAGCCAGAAGTAAAACCAGCAGAAATATATAAATAAAATATCAACATATAATCCAACGAAAGCTCCTGAAATAATTAGATAAATCCTTCCTTCTGTGTTTATCTCTATTCTCTGAACCTCAGGGAGCTATAAGAAGCAGAGAATCATACATCAGTGTAAAAGAGAAGCAAAGCAATCATCATGGCCAGAGAAGTAAGAATAGCGTATGGAGAACTAAGACAGAGAAAACTTAAATGTAGATCTATACTCACATTCAAATTATTAATGTACAAGGAATACAATAAAAGATGTGAAGTGAGCAGAATCTAATGAAAAGGAAACTATAAAGGATTAATTAAAGACGGAAGAAAAATACGTGGTCTCATAAATAAATTCAACAGAACATTTAGAAAACTAAAAGTTAATTTACAGCAAGAAAGAAACGTGCATCTCTTATATATAAAACGAATCTATGTACTGAACATTTTCATTCACATTCTCAGTATTTCTGAAGTTAATACCACTTTAGAGAATCAGAAGTTGCATCCTTCTGCACCAAGTTACCTTTTTAACTTTTGTATTCCTTATGAGAAAGCGGCGCAATGTGTAGCAGGCGTGCACTTTGGTGCTTTTCAGCGTCACCACAATGTTTCCGTACTGCTCGCTGTTCTCTGTTGGCCAATACTGGTCGCATTTCCTCTGAAACATAAAAGCCACACAGCAATGTGAGCGGCGCATGTGTGAGAGCCAGGCATCTCTGGACGGGATCACTTCAGGCAACCTTACCCTCCCTTTTTCCACCAGGTTGGTTATCATGACAATGATCCCGGTGTTCTGCTCCCACACCATCCTCCAGAAGTCCTCGAACGTAGACTTGAGAGGACCCTGAGCAGCTATATAAGCCCTGGGACGGTTGTAGCCCTGAAATGGGATTATTTACTGATAAGATGCAATCCTTATAACGCATTATTCCCAAGAACTAGATGAAATATGTGACTGATTTGATATCAGAAAAATAAGCTGGATAAAATTTTCTGGCTGTGACACCTTGCTTGATATCCTAAATAAAACCGCTGCATGGTGTTCAGCAGTGGGAATGATTCATTCACAGCTCATGCTTTGATAACCGAGCTGAAGCCTGCATAAATAAAAAATAAGACACCTAAAGTAGCCATGAGTGAAATAATCAAAAAAAAAAACAACTCACATCAACATAGTTGGCATTGATGTAATCTGAATGTTTGGCGTCTTTCCCCGCCAAAGCTCGCAATTTCACCCTGCTGTGGTCATCTTAGGAAAGAAAAAAGGAAGCAATGGACATTTTCATTTTTTAATATGAAAAGGATGAAGACCTAGCATAAAAACATTATTGAATCCCTTAGCGGCAGACATCCTAATCAGATTTCACAGCCGACTCACAGGCTACAATGTTGATGTATCTGTTTTTGTGCTTGTTGTCAGGATGATTGGAATGTTCTGCGGTGATTTTTAAGTCGACTGTGGAGCGCTGGACCTCCTGGGGAGAGAAAGAAATAGACAGAAATGGATTTTATTAAGCAAGGAGAGATGAGCTAATAGTATTAGCCCCCTTCAATTTTGTTAAACTATAAAAACAGCCTGATAGCAACAGGAATTGTTGTGATGCTGCTTTTGTCCTTTTAAAATGGTAACACCTCCCCCCACCAACATACATACATAAGTAAAAGTCCAGGAGTTCAGTGCCGTCCTGTTAAAAATGCTTCAGTAGAGCAGGAACTCCTTATTTTCCTCACTACTACACCGTGGTATGATCACTCATCCACAGAATACAGTCACTTCCAAACAGGGCTCCATCCTGGTGCATTTAGAAGCCAACACACCAGCCTCACACCGACTGACCCCAATTAGATGGAAAACTCTGGGGCCTTAGCTTTTGCCTTTTTTAACCTAGTTACACAGAAAAAAATGTGTTCCCATCCAGAAAACCAGCAGAAAGGGCCCTCTCCAATTAACCCCCATCCCTGTGATCGCTCCCTCCATCCTTCTCCAGACCATCTGGTCAAAATTTGTGACTCTTCATACAAACACATGAATATAGTGATTTCTAGCTATTGTTCACATTCAGACTGGTTTGAACAATAGCAAAGACAATCTGCTCTAAGCAGTTTGTAAGTTAAAACCTAAGGTTGGTTTTTTTTTTTTTTTGAACAGTCATAAAGCAGTTTTAAAGTGCTAATTAGAAGAATGATATTTTATCAAATATTGTTTATAAAATTATATCAAGTCCACTTCTACTCTGATACCCAAACAATGTTTTGTAACTCTTTGCCTTTAGAAGGCAGTATAATAACCCTAAAAATATGACAAAGTTTAGATAAAAATCATATTTATGCCTTTAGGTATCTAATAAAAATCAAGATCTAAATTATGCTCAGATTTCAAAATGATGTTAAAAGACAATCTCCATCCAATTTGACTGAATTTTAGCTGCTTTCCAATATATTTTGTTCAGGGAACATAAGATGATGTTAGAAACTCTAGAATACCTGCAGCTGTGGTTTCATCAAAAATCCTTATATGATACACTGTTGTTTATAGTTTTAATGTGAAAAAAATTCTTAAAAACATCCAAGGAGTGTGTAAAAGGTCCCTAAGGTCCCCTATGCCTGGTCAGGTATCTTGTGATCCTGTAAAGACTCTTTTTCCGTGATTATAAATGCTCTACTGTATTAATTAAAGGTTTAGAAAGTATCAATAATAACATTAATCTTGTTTTGAAAACGTACCTCGAACTCTTCTGCAAAACCTTGCATGTTGCTTTTGTAGAGCTCCATGACATGTTTAACAAACTGCTTCACAGGAATGGCATCCATATCATCTGCAGCAGAAACATACAACAGATTCAGCTTATTACATGTTAATAACAACTAAAAACAGATTTTTAGAATAAAAAAGGATTCAGTCTACAAAAGTATTAAAATATTGGAATTCGTCATGTTGAATTAGTCAGTGAGAGTTATTGATTTATGAGGGATTAGCATTTCATTTGGCAGACTAATCCCACAAACACCTCTGTCCGGTTTTGGGAGCATCTGTTTCATCTGAGTCAAATCAGTTCTAAATCACACACGAGGGAACTGCGATGAGGCCGGTTGGTGTTTTGCTGAACAGAGCGGGGGGACTCAGCTGTCATGGCTGCAGAGTCGGGCCAATGTCTTAACTAACACACCCTCCCAGCTGAAGCCTGTGGGGGTGCGTACGCGCATCAGTGGTCACAGCTTAGATGTTTAGTTTGGATTTATCAATCTAGTCATTCAGATGCAGAGGCTGATCAGGCCTATTTTTACCTTATTAAGAATGTAAAACTATTCACTGGTATGTTTATATTTATGGTTAAATGTCACACTTATTCTTCCAACTTTAAATGATAGCAATATATGCAAACAAAGGCAATAAATACAGTTAGGATTTAAGAACAAAATAACGGCCAGAGCAATAAGAGTATAAAGGATGCAAAGTGAATTCTGGCATAGGCTGCGCTGTTACTCTGCTACCACTACGCTGGAACGTCCCTGAGCTTTAAGAGACTGGGAAAGTAAAGTCTGATATCGACAAGCTGCCACCACACGGCTGCATGGGATATTAAGTGCAAAGAAAAGCCAGTCACTCAACTTCTATTAAGCTTTGCAAAGAGTCACTTCACATGTAAATGAATAGAAACTGTGCGAAAGAAGGTGCCAAGGTAATACATGGAAAAATTTATAAACAGCTTATGAGACAGAATAGAGGTCTGCGTTTATCAGCTTCATGAGGATTTCTAAATGAGAGTCAAGACTCCTTTGACACGTTTCATGTCAATGATGTTCTTTCTGGGTTGAATGAGAAAAGGAAAGGACCCTTTTATCAACCCCCTCACTCGTTTTGATGATTTATTAACTATTCATTAATCAGATTAATGCATGCTAGAAGCTACACCAACAATCATTTGTAAATTTTAAACACTTTCAAAGCTTGAAATCTGAGGTGTTTGGGTATTACAATAAAAATGTGAATTTCTAGATTTAAGGTTTCATATAATTAGCTCAGATTTCACAGAAGTAGAAATGTTTTATTGATTTATTTGATTTTGTTGTTTGAAATTGGGCCTTAATTTGCCCTAAGCCATGTATGCTGAGATCTGCATTTTGCCTGCATTTCACTGTCCCCAATGTGATTTGGAATCCACTAATGAAACCATGAGAAGAATAAATACATCGATGCATCTGCTGTTAAGCAATTTGCTATCTATCCTGACTACGTAGTTGAAACACAAGCTTACAGATCCAAACAAAAACTAAATAATGACATGTTGTTAGTGCTCTCTTTCCCCTTGTGGAATTTCAAACACTTAAAGCATTCAAGGACTTTCTGATTTTAAATACTTCCAAGATGTTGAATTTTTTTTTCCACATTCACAAACTTTCAAAGATTTTAAGGCTCTGTGGGAACCCTGTGCTGAACTGACAAAGACTCATGGAGAGGTGTTGAAAGGTTTTAAGAAAACTGAGTAAAGGTCATGTTGCCTCCGATTTGCTTTGTTGTTGCCATGGCCTGGATGACTGCAAATCTAAAAAGGCACTTAATCCCAAATTAAAAATCTCATGCAACTTTTCAGGTAATTAGATTTTTTATTTTCCATTGATCTCAACATCTTAATTCTCTATTGGCTGCTATAATGGTTCCTTTATAATATTCCCTTATAATAACAGGCCTGTAACACAAGATAACTTGGTTAAAAATCCACTAATCTGTCAACATTTTATTGTTTCACTGATAAATTTTCAGGTGGCAAATTATGCTTAATGGGTGATTTTGACAGGTGGGTAAAAACTGGCATTTCAGATGTTCTTGATTGAGCATATTTACAAAGTATTTTTGCATTTTAACTCAATGTTTTTAACTCATTTTAGAGTTTTAATTATTACTGCTCCATGTTGATTATTGGCAAATTTACCTGTTTTTAAGCCTGTAAACTCCATGTTAAGATTACTCGATTTTACTGACCCAATTAATTGTTTCAGGCCTCGATAACATTACCCTGAATGTAGCAATAACAGTTGCATTATTTCATTAATGAGATAAGTTTCATTATCTTATTATTCTGAGAAAACAACAACTCCAGCTAGAGTTTGCTTTGATAACCTTTACATAATTAAATGATTATTTTAAGATGCCAAGAGCTTGTTTGTCATGGCAACAGCTTTAATGATGATTTAAGTCAATAAAGATAAGTTAAATATCTTAATTATTTTTTTCCGGTATTGACGGTCTCATAACCCTTTTATCCTTTCTATTATATATTTACGTACCAAAATATTGTGATAGGAGATTAATAATGGTTAAATAAAAAAAAAAGAAGTTACCCTAACAAGTATTACATATTAAGCTGCATTGTTGATACATGCAGAAAATCAGTAATTTTAGCAGTTTATAAAAAAAAAAAAAAAAAAAAAATATATATATATATATATATATATATATATATATATATATATATATATATATTTATTTATGCATATATTTAAGTGTCTTTTCTATATATTTTTTCAGTTCATATAAAAAAATAAAAAAGTTGGAACAGAGAAAACTGTTTATTTAGTTTTAGAAAAACGCCAAATGTAAACCCCCCGCTTTGCAACACTTTTTCGTATACTGTGTAAAAGCCTTTACAAATCATAAGGTCTATTGTGCAACATTTTCACATCAGCCCTGCTCTAGTATGCTTGTTTTTAATTCTTTTTAGCATATATAGGAGGGAAAGTGGTGTCTCACCTGGTATTGGGATGATTGGGATGGTCTCATTGGCCACCACCCGTGGGGAGCTGCTCTCCTCCACATAGAAATGAGCCGTCTGGAAAAATCTCCTGCAGGGCCACAGGGATATAGGACTTATAACCACAGCGAAGTAAATTCACACCATCATCACAAATGATGCTTTAAGTGTATTAGGAAGCTATCCTCAGAAGTACTCTGTCAACATTAGCATAGAAATGTTGAAGAAAGTGACAACTGCTAATGAAAACCCAGGAGTAGCTGTGACACGGCTGACTGCACACAACCGCTGATGGGTTATACTGTGAAGCCCCAAACATACATTTCACTCTTGACAATAATGAACAAACATTAAAGTACATTATTTTACAATCTAATGCCAGATAATCAACAAAGTCTTTAATACTATTTTGTGCTATTTTGAAATTATTTTAAACAGTTCCAGGTTAAAAGTTTGCTAAATGAAAAACTGCTATAAGTCATGATTTTCTGAGGAAGCCTACATTATTTAGCAGCCGATGTTTCAGGTCTCTGAAAGGGCAATTTTTAGGGTTAATGTATTCAATATTCAAGACAGCCTTCCCTGCCATAGGAGACCAAAAGAAAAAATCTACAATTCTAACAAGACTGAAAACAGTTAGAGGGGAATAATTTAAGTCCTGCACACGTGTGAAGATCCACAGTCTCCTTTAACACAAAATATGCATCAATCAATTTAGAAAAGCCTCTGAATGTGGTGTTAGTATTTCCTTAGCTTAATCCTACCTGTACTTGTAGTAGAGAATGGAGCAGATGCTTGTCATTGTTAAGGAAAGATGAAACCAAAACCAAAAAAGGTGCCCTGCTGCTCAGATGATGGAGGGAGGAGCAGGAGAAAGAGAGGAAACAAATGGGGGGAGGAGAGTTTCCGCAGATTTGCGTCACTGCCTCCCCATTTAATGGCTCCCTTGGAGGGCAGATGTGGTCCAGCTACCCAAGCAGCATTGTCAACATCTCCTGGCTGACTGGCTCCCAGAGCTTCAGAGGAGTTGGCTTATAGGGAGCAGGAACTGGGATTAAACAGAGGCCCTCTGCGCAGCAAAGGCATCAGCCGCAGCGAGGTGCTAACAAGAGCTGGGATTTGTTCTCGTTTCGACATATGTCAGAGTCTTCTACAGGCACCTCGAGCATCACAAGCTTCCAGATGTGCATCTTTGTCTCAGCAATTAATTCCTATGTGGATAGGTCTAAAATCTAAGACTGAATATAGGAAGCTAAATTAAAAATGGGACAATGCTTCTACATCTCACGTACTACAGCGTGAAAAACTCTTTGCTCACTCGCAGATTTCTTTTGCTGTTACTTTCACATATTCAGACATTTATTTTCATATTAAAACATGAGCTGCATAAAAACATAATTTAGTTCTGAAATGAGGTCTTAATTTATTAAGGAAAAAAACATTTTACAAATTATCCTGGTCTTACATATTTATACATATATTTAGTCTAGCAAACTGCATTTAGACATGAATAATACCAAACAGCCGTGGACCATCCTCACCTATCAGGAGTTATCACCTTACTATTGTTTCTCCAGGAGAATGTTGACCAGCTATTAAGGAGGTCAGAAATACCCCAGACCATTTGCATCACTGTGGGTTTTACTGGATTTGTGTAAGGTTTGTTTTCTTCATTTGCTAATAATAAAAGATGTGAAAAAATTGTAGCCATTGGTAACCAAAGAGAACAGAAAGCCTGTTTCAGCTTTGCTAAGAAAATGAACCCAAAGACTTTTTAGACTGATGAGAAAACTGGAAACATTTAAAAGGTGGGAGGCAGTTATATCTGCTCTAAAACTAAAATTATTTCATAAAACAATAGTGTACAATTGTCAAACATGGTAGAGGTAGAATAATGATATAAGGCCGATTTGCTGCCTTAGAGAGTGGGTGGTTGGTCTATTTAAAGGAACAGACAATTCTGCTGTCTGGAAGAAACTCCTTAAGGAGAATTCCCAACCATCAGTTTGTGACCTTAAGCTCAAAAACAGAGTTAAAGCAGCAGGACAATAATCTAAAAGCATACCTGCAAGTCCAACTTAGAATGGCTCAGAAGTCCAAAAGAAAACCAAATTGAAAATGAACTGACCTAATCTAATCCAGACTTCTGGGTGCAATATGTGGTGGAATGACCTTAAACCACCCGTTCATGCTTAAAAGCCCTTCCATGTGGCTGAATTGAAACTAATCTGGGGCGAATTCCTGCACAGCAATGCAAACAGCTCATTACCAATTATTGTAAATGCTTGTTGGGAGCTACTGTCACCAAGAGGGGAGCAATCCGTTATTAGCTTTAGAGGGAAATTGCTTAGTTAGATGGTTCTTTTTGCTTTTGTATTAAAATATTAGTTGAGGGCTACATTTTGTATTAACTCAGGTTTTAATTAATTTTTTATATCAAAATTACTAAAACAATAATAATACGCAACAAACTTGTAGACTGATTTCTTCATAGCAGTAAGCAATTTTTCAAGCTTTGTTGATGGATTTTTTTCTAATTGGGCAAACGGTGCCAAAAATATCTCTAATCCGAGTAACTTTGGCTTTAATCGCCACTTTATCGAGAGGCTAAGCTCAAGATGAAGAGTTAAGAGAGTGTGAATTTTATCCTCCATCATGGCCTTTTCCCGAGGGGAAGCAGCCATTGTCTGTGAACTGTCGGAGTTGTCACAACAACAGCTGCTGTAATCTCAAGCTGCCCCTGCTTTTCTACTCAAATACCACAACTCACACTAATTCAACCACCAAATGAATCCACTACAGTCGCCTCCTTTCCAGCTGTTGTTTTTTCTTTTTTTTCCCCCTTGGTTTGCACTTCCCTGGAGCTGATAGCCAGGCTTTTATTTATATCACAACTTTATTATCTGCCACGGTAAGGTGCTATAAACATTATTTGGTGTAGTAATCTAACAGAGCAGTTCTATCTAAAAAGGAGAGTGTGGAAACAAATATAATCCTCTGCAAAGTAGCAGCAGTAAATATGTCTGGCACCGGCTGAAGAAGTGGTCCACAGCGCTATTTGTTTCTCATTAACCACCATCCGACATGTGCTAGTGGCCTGGCCTGTGTAATTACTGGAGCTCCAATGGCATGGCTGGAAATTAGCCCAGCAGATGAAGACACAGCTGGGACCTGGGCTGGAACTGTAGGGCCTTCAGGTCTCTCTCCATTTCACCCAGTTGGGTGATGGTGCTGTGTATGCAAAGTGGAGGCAGCAGAGGGGGTCTTTTAACCACAAGATGGATGCATGTGCCTTTAAAGGACACACCCAGACTGCTTTGTGCTGATTGGAAAACACCAGAAATGCATAAAGGGGCTGTCATTCTGCAAATTAGGTGATAGATAAAGATAGTGGAGGCAGTGCAGATGAGGGGTGCTCAGTTATTCATGCCTCTAAAAGAGGTGCCTTCCAGTCAGATTCCTATCAAGCTGAGATGCTGATGTAAAAGTATTTGACCAGTGTCTTTAAAAAAAAAAATAAAAATAAAATAAAAAAATAAAAAAATAAAGCTCTCTCACAGAGTGAAAGTGGCTCTGAAATAAAGTTATGTTTGGTTTATTCTACTCTGTCTCACCTCCAGTAGACCATCACGATTAGCAGCATGATGAGGCACAGCAGAGTGAGAGCAGACACCACCACCAGGGGCACGATCCACACCATCCTGCCCATTCCTGGGTGAGGGGTCCGCGTCACGTTGGACAAGACAGTTTGATCTAGAAGAGGAAAATGTGACAGCCTTAAACAAAGGCTTATTTAGTTGTATTCATTTCAGACATGGACATAACTGGTTTAGAAAACAAACTAATATATTATACACGTTTGAAAAGGAGTAGGAAAGGTATCTACAAAAACAATAACATTAAAAAAAAAAATCATTAAAATTCTTTTATTACTTATAACAGAAATCAACCCTTAATACCAAACTTACTAAATAAATACCCATAAGCATTTTACAGTTTTATTTAAATTGTTGCTATTTAGACCATTCTAGAACTTACAAACACAAATGTTAAAATTTCTCCGTGTTTTCTACTCTTTCACTAATACTGCTTCTTTTACTCCAAGAATTATCTATTATATAATGTGATACCGTCAGCTTTAAAATCAATTAAAAAAGTAAACTTCACTTAAATTTCCCCACAACTTTAAGAACAAACATCTCATTTTATTTAATTCCTGATCTATGGAGTATGTTTATTACTCTTCTTCAGTAAGGATATGTGTGCAGATATTATGAAAATGTTATCATTGCTCTACACCTCAGTGCAAAATGTCATAAATGGTAAAGCTAGGTAGAAGCAGAGAATATAGAATAAAAAACAGAGCACTAGCTGACAGAGAACACGGTCTGTAACAGATTAGTTCATATATAAGGATAATGAGACTTCTTTAGTTTTTTGTTCATTATGTCTGAGCAGTAACAGTCGATTGCCTTCGACTGTTCTAGTTAAACAGTTCAACTGAAACATCATTAGTTCAACTTTTTTATTTTCTTTAGTCCAACTGTTTTTAATATTCTTTTTTGTTTCTGCATTTTTAATTTTATTTTATTATTTTCCTACCTGCTTTGATTCTATTTTATTTTCCTATATTTTAATCATGTAAAGCACTTAGCATTGTCTTTGTACTGAATTGTGCTATACAAATAAATTTGTCTTGCCTTACCATTTCAAAAAATTTTAAGAGTTTTGTCTGTTTGTTCAAATCAAAATGGCACTTGCTCTTCCAAACAAAATAAGAATGCCAAAAGAATAAAAATTGCGTTTTCATTGTTATAAAAATCGTAAATGCTGTGAAAAAGCTCAGGGAAAAAACCAACAAAAATAAGGCAATTGTAGTTAGAATACTACAAATAATACGTTTTATAACTATCACAATCTTACCTATCATCTGTTAATAATGATTACCTTTTATATATAAAAAGAATATATTGGGACTACCTTTGAAAAAAATAAAGGCACTTCTTCAGGGATGACCAAACATTTGCTGTAATTGCTGAACTTTAACCCCAACCCTTCTGCCTTTGCTCTGTGTTCCTTCCTTTGTATTCTCATCCAAAATGTATTATTGAGAAATCCTCACACGCAATTGAATTCCTGATATTCTGTATTCAAGGAACTAATCATTTCCAGCACTGTGATAGAAAAAAAAAACTCATAAAAGCTCTGCCTTGAAGCAAACTCTTTTGAAAAATGCTTAAAGGAATTCCTTGAGGCAGAAGCCCTCTGGCAGACAGCCGTCTTCTTCCTTCAGGCCTCTACATTGTGGTGACACACAAGCCTAGAGCTTTGTCTTTGACTGAGATGGTAACTATTGTATCTGCTGTCTTGTGTCAAGTTATTTGTTCTCCTAAATTGGCCTTGGTAGATGTTGGTAATGTTTACCGAACCCTGCACTGGAAGAGTATTTCCTTGTAATAAGGGTGGTTACAACAGAAACAGACCTCTAAATTGCTCAGAGAGATTTTTGTTTTTACCACTTTCTGTTTAAAAGGCTTTCACATGTGTTGGAAAGAAAGATATGCTCACCAGTGTGGACCAGAAAAGGCCAGTGACCCTTTCCATCACTTTTATTCTTTGGAGCTACAGTGGAGCTCTGAGGAATCTGCATCTCAGCGCTGTCATTCCGTGGCTCCTGAGTGGAGACTGTGTTTACTGCTGTGGGTCTCTTCTCCTTGTTTACCAAGCAGTCATCACCAGCACTTGCAGGGGCTGTGGCTGTTGGACTGCCCTTTCCTTTCTCTTTGGCTGTGGATGCGGGGGTAGGGATTAAAGGCTCTTCGGACACAGTGTTGTTTGCCTGCTTCTCGTTATCAGGTGAATTCTTGTCCTTTTTCTTTTTTCCTTCCTCTTCTTCCTCTTCTTCCTCTCCATTTTCACCGTTCTCTTCCTCTTCCTCCTCCCCCTCACCGGAGGCCTGTTTGTCCTCAGCCTGCTTCTCACTCTCAGCCCCATGAGTGGCTTGCTCAGTGCTGGGCTTCGAAGGCGGGGTGGATGGATGTGTCGGGTTCTGAGGGGCAGGAGGTGTCTGTGTTGGCCAGACAGAGCTGGGCAAAGAGGAGATAACCCCTCCGCCAACACCCAAGCCTGCCAACAAGGTGCTGGTCACCACTGATGCTACAGTGGCCTGACTGCCACTGGACGAGGGGCCCATGCCGGTGGCCATAGAGACCAGGGAGAAGTGGATACCAGAGGATGTCCAGGTGGACGAACCAGAGCTTATTGGAGCCATATCTGCTGATGACGCTGGAGATCCTGTGGGCTGAGAAGAAAAGGCAGGATGAAAATCATGGTAACACATAAGAATCATTTTTAAATACATCCTACACATTTTTCATAGTTTTTGAGCAATTTTTGGTTTACTTTTAGGGTATAATTACATGGATTCATTATGTTTTTGCTACAGTAGCCAAACTGTTGATACGAGACTCCAACAACCCTAGAAATGATAAAAACGCATTTCATGGGCAGACAAAATGAAAAGTATATAGAAAAAAATTTCATAATAGTTTAAAAATTGCCATATTCTAACTATGAAATAAAAATACAGATAAAACATACAATTGGATTTCAGGTATAATGACTAAATGGATGGATGGATGGATGGATGGATGGATGGATGGATGGATGGATGGATGGAT